ACATTTCTTCTTCAGTTCACAAAAGAACATGTTTCAAAAGCAAGCATCTCTCAAGCACCCACCCATATTGCAGAAATCACTTTTATTTCACAGGCATTTCTCAGAAGCTTCTGCAACTCGGCTTCTACAGACTGTGGCTAAAGTTCATGCCAAACAAGGCTTTTTGGTTTGTCAAAAAGTTTGTCAGCCAAGGCTGTTAAAGGCAGGGAAGCTCGGCAGATATTTATAAGTTCACCATCCACACTGCTTGGACAGTTTAGGGTAGGAAAGAAGAAAGAAAAAGAAACGGTGGGGACCAAGAGTCTGTATTCCAAGAATTTGAGCTACAGTCTTATAAAGAGAAAGGCAGATAAAAAACAGGGAAAAGCATTTACCAAAGATGAAGGAAAGAAGGAAAACATGGTGGCAAAAATCCCAAATCAAAGTCTATTTTCCAAGAGGTATGCAGGCCTTAAACAAAACCACAAGCTTCACGGATCTGGTATGATTCAAACAAGTTACAAAACATGGAAAATTCCATTATTTCCTCTTCACAGAAGAGGCAGTGGCGACTATCATCTTTCAGAGAAAAAGAAACCTGAGGGGAAAAGCCTACTGATTGCAGTTTTGAAACAAACATCTTCATTCACCATTTCCGTTCATTTCTAAAAAAATATTTTCCATCTAGCATAAAAAAATTTAACTTGGGACATTATTTTTGGGAAAAGCTGGAGGCTATGTGTGGGCAATACAAACAGAGGCTTTGATGGCAAAAACTAGTCAGAGCATTAACAAATGACAGACTCTTATCTTTCGGTAATGAACTGACATGATGGTACTTTCCTTTTTTTTCTTTATTTTTAAATAAAGGATTCTGTCTGCGTCTTGATAACTACCACAGAATGGATCTCAATGTACTTGCAATGCCACACTCACTCAATTACAGCAGTGATTTTCTCTTATATGCAAAAGGAAACAAAGAAAAATTGTATAAGGACAAACTACATGTTTCCAAGGCTAAATTTAAAAGTGGAATAAATATATGCAATTAGACAATTTAGAGAATTGTTAGGGTTGTGAATCTTCCTTTCTTGATTTTTGCCCTTTTAATTCTTGCAAATGTAAAAAGGCAACTTACTACATTCTGTCCTTTACATCTAGGATGCCTGGAGAATCTGCTACCATACCTAAGTCTGACAGGTATGGTAACCCAGGAAAACAGCTTCATGTTTTCAACTGCCAGAGGGAAAACTTAAATGCAACAAATAAACATTCCCAAGATGCACAGTATACTTGGATCACCAGCTACATGAAGAACCAGAAAAACAGACTAGCCTGACAAGAAAAGCCTCTGAAAAGAGAATCACTATATAATTATGATTGCCTATGAAGAAACAAATGAAGAGGAATGAAAACTGTCTGTAAGGGTTTTAACCAAATGCATCATTTATCTAAAATACGAGATAAGTTTGTAGTGTATTTGTATGTCTAAGCTCATACAGCCTCAGCAAAACTTTGCTTATAATTACTTCTGGGCATTCCAGAAACATGTAATTGACTACAACACATGATACAAATATAAAAACTACTAAGAAATTGATGTGACTTCAAAGACAAAAAAAAAGATTGTTTTAAAAGAGGTTGGTTGTGAACTGTATCAATGCAGAAGTGTTAAATCATGCAGCAAGTTTGCCAGTTCAAAGCCCTTCCTTTTTGCAAGTCAGCCAATCACTGCAAATGCCCACTGAGAAAATAAAACAACAAAATCCTACAGAAGTTAGAAATCTGCTTGTTCTTCAAGTTTGTAGCAGTTACTAAGAAATTAAATAAATCTTAAGTTTTCTTCTTTGGCTAGTCCGGCACAGCATCTTTCTTATCTGTGGAGCTTTTCTCTTTGCCATTCGGTTAAGGCTTGTATGTCACCATCTAGGCTCAAATGCTTTTCACAGAGCCACAGAATCACAGAATCATTAAGGTTGGAAAAGACCTCCAAGACTGAATCATCTCATTCCCACCTACATCTCAGGCCTATTTACGTCTTACACAGTTAAAGTTTGCAAGATCTTATCCTCTGATGTCATTTACTTCCAGCAAGCTCTAGATCAGGCATTATAAGTAAAGAGTCTGACATCAGCTGGAATTCCTTTTAATCCATTTGATTATCCTTCTACATGTCGATGAGACATCTGTGCATAAGGTGTGGGAACCAGCTATCTCTCACATGAAAAATCAAGACTCACTGCATGTGTCTGAAATAGATCCCTTAAAGCTGTGTAGTATTTCCTAACTTTAGACAGGTAGAAAACCACCAAACTAATGGAGGTCATACTTCACAAAGATTGGTATCCTATCCCCTTCCTTATGTGCCAATTTCCCAGTCCTATTTACCCCACTGATGCCCTGTTCCCTTGTGACTCACACTTACATTAAGTTCCCATAAGCCTGTATCTAACTCTTGCAAACTCTCCTTTTAAAAGAAGAGCAACTTGTGTGTCTTCTCCCAAGTGAGTAACAAGGTGCAGGGGTCAGAGGCTGTGAATTCCACCCGGAGCCCCTTATTGATGCCACAGGAAGAAAACATGAGACACAGTCTTCCCCTTAATGTTCCCTAAGGACTGGCTTTTACTTTAACTGATCGTCAAGGTCCCTATTGGTATTCCACTGTGGCACACCCAAACAATTTCATTCCCGCTAAAGGCTATGTAAAACTCTTGCCTCACCCCTACAAATATCTCTTTCAGACGTGGAGGAGTAAATTTAAGGCATTACTGAAGTTTATGCTACCCAAGTTTCTCAGTAAATCTGCTCCTAAGGTAGGCATGCTAAGGACCTGACATACATCAGGCAGTTTGGGACTAAAAGGAAAAAGCATTGAAGAGAAAATACTCAAGTAACTGAGGGTTCCTTTAGCAGATGCCTTATCTCAATTTTCTCAAGCATCAATACAGAATGACAACTGTTAAACACAGTATGAAAGATGTAACAAGATATAGCATCATTATGGATCACAGCTTAATGAACCTCTAAATTTAATTTTGTTCATAAACAGCAATCAGGAAAATTAATAAAACTACCTCTTAAATGAGGGTAGTACTGCCTTCAACACGGTCTTCATACCAGCTCATTTCCACACCATTAGGGAAACAATGCTTTTCCCCTCCTCCTGCTGTTTATGTTTCTTCTTTTGAGAAACTTTAATTGAATAAAAAAAAATATTCTATTTTTGTTTTCCCTCAGCATGCAAGAAAAAAATATTTCTAAACAAGATCACACTGTGTCTTTAATTACTCACAAAATTAGCATTTAGAAAGCATTATTCACCCTAGATTTCTACATCACTTTTAAATTTCATTTAAATCAAGTACTTGTTTACTTTTCCATGCTTTGAGGAATTTTAGATGCTTACTTAGTACTACCCTCACTTTATCAGGGAAACTACTAAAGAAACTGAGGCACACAGTAATGAAAGACCAGAGACTGCTTGAAGTTGCATGAAGATCTGCAATAGTGCCACTGAAGCATAGAGAGTTACACTCATCCAGAACTTGGTTCACACAACACACAGCAGAGACCAAATCATTCCAAAAGACTCCAAATACTGCTGTGGTGAAAGGAACAAAAGTAAAATCTGTATTCTGAGCCACAAACTTCTTCCCAATTCACCTGTTCAATATAAAGAATCAAATAATATTATTAGCAAGAGCAGCCAGTGAGGGGTCAGGAAGAGACTAAATAGCTACACCACGGTCATACAGGATATTTGCATCAGAGAACATCTCTAAGTCCTGATTTCCCAGGTTCCAGGATACAAGCTTTAATCACTCACATACCTTTAAACACCACTAATAATAACAGTCAAAATAAATCGAAAGAAAATGTTCTGCATTCCCAGAAGCAGCCCAGGATCTTAAAGCATCATGTACCTCATCAAAGGAACATTTCAATAGAGAACACAAAGTTGATTCTGCAAAAGCACAATGAAAAAGGGATTCATGTCAGGCCACATGAACCACTACCACTGAACCCCTTAACTCACTTACCTCTGCTAACTAGATCAATTGTGCATCACACTGATGAGAAGTGTGAAGTTAAGCCAAGCTGTTTCAGCTCACCCTCTGATACCTGCTGATCAAAGAACTTAAAATTTTCTTTCTCTTCTAATCATTGCCTTTATTATATGCTTTTAGACTATCTTCTTCAGAGAAGCAGAGAAAGCTCTACAAAACATTCATTATGGGTATTTTCTACCCATAATGTCATGTGAGAAAAGCTATTTTTACCATTCTGCATTCTTAAAACATAACAAATTTTTTTGCAACACCTGTATATGAGTAAAGTGTCAATAAAGCACAGAATAATCCTTTACTCTTTTAAGGATTTCGCAGAAACAAAGATGACTAATACCTCTGAGGACGAAGACCTCAGAAAAATCTTACGACTTTAGCATACATTTCCTACCGAAGGACTTGGGTCCAGATCAAGATGTACAACAAAGAGAAACTTGTGGTGTAGTACAGAATGAAGAGGATGCAGGGGGAGAAGAAAAGGGTCATGAAATTTTCCTGTCAGGTTAGAAAAAGAATAACAACCAAAATGACTGTTCCATGGTATAAAATACATTGAGGCTTACTGTAGGGTTCAGTGATGTATTCAAGCATTTCCTGTGAGTTCCCCCCTCAGACATATAGCACATTAACTAGATTTAACCATAAAAATTCTGGAGTTCTTTTCCTCAGTAGTGAAGATTAACATTGTCTTCTGAACAAAAGTGTTATTCTCTTTGCAGTCATAATTTTCTCTCTCTCTCTCACCAAAAAACTTCCAAACATTTTCTAAAACTCATTTCTAATGAGTAGTACTTAAGTGCATCAATTAGTTCTGCCTGTTTCAGTCAGTTGGCTTGCTCACTCGCAGTGCCTATTGCTGTGAATTCTTACAAAACCTGTAAATGTTGAAGCTATCCAGCACTCAATACCACAAAATAGCAAATACCACAAAACACAGAACAAGCATGGACTTACGCAGCTCTTCTCGGTGCCTTTCTGTCTCTGCAAAAAACTGGCGAAGCTCCTCTGTGATCTCCATGTTACTCAAGTCATATTCTATCTCCCCTTCAGACTCGGAGTCTTCCTCCATTTTGGAGTCTCCTTCAGCATCCTCTTCCATTTCAGAGTCCTCATCAGCATCATCCCTCTCCTCGTAGGCACCTGCGTACTGCTGATCTCCCCCATGATATGGAACTCTGACACCTGGTCTATAGCTGGAAGAATAGTTTTGGGTATGTGGGAGGTCATTCCCATCCCAATCTGCATAGTGGCTGCTTGGAGAGGCTGCAGCAGGATGACATGGATGCCATGGCAGGCGATAAAAGGACTCCATGGCTTTCCTGTAGGCCTTCTGGTGCCTGCGCATCCAGCGCATGGCTAAGTCATAGTGCCTCCAGTACCTTGTGTACACTTGCTGAGAGTACCACGGCTCGGTGTCTTCCTGTGGCCAAGACACATGGGGAGAGGGAAAGAAACAAAAAAAATCAACCACAAAAAAGAAGATTTAAAGAGAGAGAGAAACAAAGAGTAACTGAGAGGAGCAACTAAATGCAAGCACAATGCTGCCTTTTAATCTTTAGTATTCCTTTAGTTAGATAGAACATGGAGATTTGAAAAACAACATGTATGAGCACAGTGCACATGCACCACACCTCATTACTCCTACAAGAGACTGTTTTGGCATCAACACAATGACCACTGAAGAACTAGAAATAGAGAAGTTGTAGTGTCCAGAAGGTATTTTTCAAGTGTTCATGCTACTACAGTGGGAATCAGCTCTTTTTAGGAAATATGCCGTGTGGATAAAGTCCACAATTCCTTAGACACTCAAGTGAGTTGTAAGAACTTAATCATTCCAAGGTGTAGATATTGCAACCTGATTTCCAAATCCACAGACAGAAAACACAAGAGATTAAAACTCCTCTACATTAAACAAATGCATTCATTTTATCCAGTAACGTATTTCCTCCAGTAATGTATTTCCTCCATCTGCCTGCCAAAGTTTCTCAGAAAAGGTCAAACAGCAATTCAAACAAGTTCATATATCCACAATCAAAAACAAGACCGTATTTAGCCAAATGCAAGCTGCCAGTAAATCTCCCTTTTGTATCCCTCACCAAACAAAACATGAAAAGAGGCAATAAAGTGCCCCTGATCAAGTACAGAGAAAAATAGTTCTACAGAAAGAAACATAGTATAACACACCTTCTCCTGTCTTCCAGCCTTAGTTTTCCTTAAAGAAGTTTCATGCTGTTCAGATTTCAACAGCAACTACAAAGCCCCACAGTCTCTCTAGCCTTAAACTCCCGTCATACAAGCCCCATCATCTTCCCCCATCATCCTACTCTCAAAAAGAAGAATAGATAATCTTAAAAAAAGCCATAAACTAGAGCCTAGAACATGTAAACTAAATAGCAAATATTTTCTCCCTTTCCCTCATGTCTTAATTTCCATAGAAAATCTTTTATCTGAAGTAAAACAGAATGCCTCTACTTTCAATAGGAAAATTTTAATTAAGACACATTCTGGCAAACACTCAAGACTATGGCAAAACTAGCTGACGTTTTAAGAGATTAATTTGACATTTACAGTCCTTTATGAAGGTGTTCTTTTGGGGTTTTTTTAAGAACATACAGGACAAAAATATTTAAGTCTGTTTTCTTGATCTGCACTGGTACCATTTGGTACCCTTAAAAGACTGATTCTCTGGGGAAAAGAAATCCCAAGGCAAAACAGAAAACTCAAACCTAAAAAATACTTTCCATTTAACACTATCCAGAGAGGTTCATTTAGTTTACTTATATTTGTTTTCACTTCCTGCTTCTCAGACAATAAAGCAAATGCTAGTGAGTTTGGAATAATAATTGCAACTCTCATGCAGCCCTTTTTTCTGGAAAATTGAGCCCATTATTCCATAACATGACCAATACTAATCTTTTTAAGGTGATTGCTAAGTGCTTTCAGAAACAAATTATCTTCAGCTAATAGAGTAGGTAAAGAAAGCCCTCCACAACAAACTTGCACTCCTTAAGGTATTCCTGATCAAAAACTGCAGCCTATTTGTGAAGGGCTGTGTAGCTCAGCTACATGATTTAAAAGTGCAGACAGCTTATCTCTCCTGAAAAGAAAGAATCCATGGAGATGAAACTTCACTGCTATTCTCCTCTTGGTCTAATACCGCACTGCTACAAGACCATGCATTTGGAGTTCCCAAAATGCATCATTCCCAGGATGAGTTGGTAGAGGGAAAGCATCTGCCTTCCATATGGAATTTCTTCATCCTTAATCATCCAACTACCTAACAGCTAGGATGAACAATGTTTTATTTACTGTTTCCTTCTGCTTAAGAATGTCACACTGACTCCTCATCCTTCAGCAGACAGTTGAGAATGTCCCGTTATCAAATCTGATACATTAACAAGTTACTTTTAAAACATTTGCCTATTTTTTAAAATACTATAATACTTTAAAGACCAGTTTAGAAAGACCATTAAGCTTGACAAAAGCAGGTATCTCCTATATTCTATGTATCTGCAAAAAAGACAATATATTCTTTTAACACTCAAAAATTATCTCCAGATCTTATAAAATGTTTCTAAAAAGGAACTTGATGACTTTACTGAAAGCTCTGGAATCAAGTTGGTTGATTTGTCTGGCTGACTAGCTCCAGTTGTTAATTTAAGGAAAAGGAAGACAAAAAGGCAGTTCATGTAGACAGAACTGTGATGCTGGTGCTTGTCCAACTACTTTTTGTGAGGGTTTTTTTGTTGAAGGCAACCCTTGAAAACCACTCTTACATTTGAATTTTAAAAATACATCTGTTAAAAAAGAAATTGCAGAAATGTTTTACATTTGGGTGGAAAAGGGAAAGGAACACTTTCAGTCTCACTTAATTCCATGTCTGTGCTTTTTCAGCTGTGGAATAAATGGAAATAAGAGATTTCCTCAAGGAAACAAAAGCTATAAATCTAAGGCAAATGACCAGAGTCCTCTCTTATTCTCCTGTTGTTTCTCTGGAGTCTTCCCAGGAGTAGACAAATCACTCATTGTTGTAATCTGAATTCTATTTTCAAAGCAATTTAGTGACCTTTACATCTAATTTTTACATGTCTGCACTCACAGTTCAGTAAGTGTTTATATGCATTTTATATATAAAATGTGACTAAGCTATCACATAGAAACCCACGAAGACCTCTTACCATCTTTTGTGGAGTTTTCTCTGGTGGTGATCAAGGTGAACTAGAAAAGAAAAGAGTAGCTTTTTAATTAATAAAAATATATGTATTAAGGTGGTCACAGGCACTGAATATACATTCTGTTATATTTGAGTATTATGACCTACAGCTGTTAAGCATCCCTTCTGTGTAGGGGCAAGTTGAAGTCTCTTACTGATAGATTTTGATTAGCAGCAGTAAAAATCCCATTCCTTAAAATTCCCCACTACAGTAAGAAAATAAAAAAAGGAGCCTTCTATAAAATGAAGCCTGAAATGCTGGAACTGAGTACTTCTCCCACTGCTCTTCTCTTCCTTCATGCTTCCTCAACCTTTACTCTCCAAATTACCACCAAACAAAAACCATAAACTTAAAAGGAAAGAAACTGTTCTCGGTTTTTAGCTGTGTCTGCTAACTTGTATAAAATTGGAACTTGCATAAAATAAGCAATTGCTGTAAAATAATTAAACCCATTCTGATTCCACTCATGCAGTGAGGTTTCTGTTTAACCTGTGGTGCACTTTTGACCACATAGAGTCCCTTTCTCTTTGCTTCTCTTTTTTTTCCCCCCTCCAGAATCTGATCCTGCCTCCCATGAAGAAAACACAGGTCAGTTCAAATTGCAACCACATTTTTTAAATGTGAGGAAAAGGCATAAGAGAAAAGGGCAACTGGACAGGAAAAAAAATAAAAAAGGAAAAAAATGGTTGTGAGGTAGAAAGGGAGAACAAGAGCTCTATAACCACCAGGCAGGATTCATAATTACTAACATTTCCAGGGTGGTTTACCAGCACATATCACTGAGAAATAATCTCTTCTTATCTGACATTTTTTTTATTAGTAATACGTTAACTAATAGGTTAGCTGCTTCATTCATGTATTTCTCCTGACATTCTCACCCATCCTGAGCTTGAACTTTATTTTAGGTGCCAGTGAAAGGTAACAGAAATAGGGTACACTAAACTACCTATTGCTACGCTTAAGATATGGTCAAATGCTATTCCCAAAAACACTGGAACATAGCCAAGACAGCACTTAAAACTGTTGTAGATTTATACCAGGATAAAGCCACTGTTTTTCAAAATGCATATGAATACAGTACACAGACCAGTTGTGTTCTGCCTCATATTTAAGAATACTGATTAAAGAGCAACTTTTTGTCACTTAAGCCATACTCCATTACAGGAGAACGGAATGGTCAAACAAAATGCAAATCATGCAGCAACCACAAAAGCAAATGATTGTCCATTCCAAAGCCCATTGTAAGCTCAAAGTCATAAACCCCTGGTAATACCAATCTGTCTGCAAGAAGCTCTACATGTAAGAACAGTCCATTGCAGTTGATAGAACAACTCATGCCAGCAAAGTCTGCAGTTTCAGGCATTAGGGAACTAAAGCATGCGAGTCACTGGATTCTCTCCTGCCTGCTTGGAGGAAGAAGGAAACCCAGCACTGAGATCACTACAAAACACTGCAGTGACTTGTAACATTCAAAACCCATGCACACATAAAAGATTGCTGTGTCATCCCTCTTTGTGCATTTCAAACATCTCATTTCCAACCACTGCCTTCTTCAAAACTTTAATCTCCACTCTCATGATGTACACATATACTTGTTGTCTCTTTCCCATATATATCTTTCCCAGATACATCTGGATACTGTCAAGGTTGCCATAACCTCTTTTTCTCACTAGTTATTATTAAAAAAACTAAGCCCATGATAGCCAATTCTTTAATTTTCCAATTCAGAAAAGTAGGTGTGTTTAATTCTCATATTCACTCTAATTCCACCATGACAAAAATTTCTTTGAAACAGCTTCAGAAAAAACAGAAATCAGGATTGATCTCAATTTAAATAATTTTTAAAGCAGTAATTGATGAAGTCTGATACTTTATTAGTAACACACAACATGTACATATGCTTTCTGAAAGGGAATGAGGGGAAAACCCCTGGCAAAACCATCCAACTATATTAATTTACCAAATATGAAAAACCTGTTTTGCCAAACACAGAAACTTTAATTATTATCATAAATTACTTATGAAACATTAGACTACAAATATAAAGCAGAGCATAAAAATGCTGCAAGCAAGGACACTAAATTAAAAAATTAGTTTGTTTTATTTTCGGTAGAATTACTCTTCCAAAACAAGCTACATAAAATATGAAACATGACAAGCAGCAGAAAAATAAATCTAACAGTTCTACTCCTATAATTTATACTTAAAAAAAAAAAAATATGGAACCAACTGAACATATGAAACTCACCAGCAAATGTACAATTTAAAATGGGAAAGAGATCAGTTTGCTTATACTGATTATTAATGATGGAATTGTTTTTCTACTTCCTTTTCCCAGTTTTGAAATATTTCTCCACTGATAATGAACCAGGGATGAACCCTTTCATCTAAACATGTCTGTCCCCCTTACCAGCTTGAGGCAGGTGAGCATTGGTGAAAATAAATAAATTTCAAAGATCAAAGCAATGACAGCATTGAATTCCCTTGGAGTCAACAGAAATTGAGACAATGTCTGTCATACCATAGACACAACCTCAGTACACTGGGGTTTGTAACTTGGTAAGTAAATCCCACTCTGGGACCACTCTGGGTCTAATGGCGTGTTGGATACAGTGTGGCCACACAGAGGAAACAGGGACAACTCCAAGCCCAGTGCAGGATCAGTGAGAGCTCCTCTATTCACAATACCCATCAACACAAGATTAACTCAACTGTTGCATGGTATTACGGCAAAAACATCATATGTTATTAAAGGAAGGTGGAATTTCAATAAATTCAGCAGGTTTCAACAAAACACATTTATACAAAACTTCCATGAAAATGCCAACTATATTTGAATTGGAAATGCCTCTAATAACAGACAGCTGATCAGCCCCTCTGCCCACTGCTGCTTTTGTCCCCGATGTGAAAAGTGTCTTCAGTCAGGCCAGAGCTTCCCTAACTCAATATCCAGTTTCTGGCAATGGTTAGTAGAAGATACTCAGTAAAATGTGACACTAACACATTCATGAAGGAATTACTTTTCCAGGTACTTTTCTCTTGATTTCAGCAAGACGTAGTTCACACATTTTTTGTTTTTTCATCTCCAAACTGGTTTTGGCATTTAAAGCCAAAACCCCCATGAGTAAGAGGTGTTTCAAATAAATCCCCTGGCAGTAAATTCCACAGTTTAAGGGATTAAACATAATTTTGTGCTGTAAATTTTGAACTCACCTTAGTACATACTAGCTAAAAAAATGTGAATATAACAACATCAATAGTGTGCATCCTCCCATGAACACTATTTCATTTTATACTTCTGATGCAGAATTACCACCAGAAGAGGGAAATGTCTAAAAAGTGGTCTGACATCCTGCACTGCAGATTAACACTGTGCATTGCTGTGACGTTAACTTTAATACCAAAGTGCCCTAGTTAGAGTCACGCAGAAACACAAGCCTGTGATTGCTGGGACAGTTGGCAGCAAAAGTTATTTCTCTTCAAAAGAAGGGGTAAAAATTCCCAAGACTATACACTTCATTCTGGTTTGCAAATGGTTGCAAATACAAGACTTGTCCAGCACTTAGGACATTCACAGCTGCTTCTCATCCGAACAGGAGTGCTATGAAGAACCACCTATCACTATGATGTTCACATCAATGTCCTTAAAACAACAGCAACTCCTGTGAATGGACGCGAAACAAATTAGCAAAATAATGTTCTTAAGCTTTCAGCAGATGTATTACAGGTGTTCTGGCCCTATCAGAAGCCAAGGCAGTGTAATCCACTGTGGCTCCCAAAAGAGGGTCTTCACTCTCTGAGCTTCAGGACATAAACCCAAAAGCTATTTTGGTCAAAAATCAGAGGGAAGAAATAAAGTGCTAAAAGCTGTACAATTATCAGTATACCAGTTAGCTAATGTTTCATATATATCTGGTCAACTTAGTCATATACAAGGAACAGGATCGAACTTCTCCAGTACAGCTTTTGAAGGCATAAGTAATGTCCTGGTCTCACAGATGTCGTGTCCAGACTCCGGCAAGTGACTGAAAGCCTCGCAGAAGCTCCTGCCACTGCAAACAGGGCACACAATTACAACATCCAAGGGCTGGCAGGAGCACACGCCTTGTGCCCCGGCTGCCCCCGGCCCCAGCGCACAGAGCGCCGCTCTCGCCCGAGCTCGCTCATGGCCGCCTGAGGCCCCGGGCCGATAAAGTGTGGCGAAACGGCAAAGCCCCGCTCCCGTACCGCTACAACCACCGCGTGGTGCCGCAAGCACCTCGGCCCCGCCGGGCGCCCGGGCTCCCACATCTCCCTCCTGAGGCCTTCGCTTTCCCGCTCCCGCCGCCGTTCCGCCCCGGCTGCCACCGCCCTCAGCCCGGTCCCCTCCCCGGGCGGGAGGCCCGGGCCGCAGCCTGCGAGGGGGCACTGCCGTCCCCGCACCCACCCGGACAGCCTGGGGCTCCGGCGGACAAGGTACAAAGCCGCCTCCAGCGTTCCCTCGCTCCGTTCCGGCGGTTCCGAGCGCGCCCAGCCTGGCTTCTTCCCCCGCCGCTTCCGCCCGGCGCTGCCCGGGCCCGCGGCGCCATCTCGTGGTGTTGTGGGGAGGCAGCGCCGGGGCCGCGCTCCCCGCAGGCGCCGCATGGAGCTGCCGGCCCCTCACGGGAACAGCCCGTCTTCCTCAGCTGCTCCTCACAGGCCTTGTGCTCCAGACCCTTCCCCAGCTTCATTGCCCTTCTCTGGCAGGTTCTGAGTTCCTGCTGTCCCACCTAACCCCTGGTAGCTGTCTCCAGTCCCAGAGCACCCACAGTGCTCACCAAGCTGAAGCATTACTCAAAATGCACTGCGGCAGTGGTGGTGTGGTACTGCAATACTTTACCCTTTGGTTATTATTTTTTCCATAATTAATATCTTAATTTTCTGTTCAGGTTCAGTACTGAGCCAGTATTTTCACGGGACTGTGAATGAGCAGCCCCTTGGGGACCCGTCACAGCTGGCAGAGCAGGGATTGCATTTTCCCCTGTGTAGCATTTTACACTTTCTGTATTAAATTTGCCAGCTATTACCTGGTGCCATAATGTTGTTGTGTGTTTCTTCATGGTCAATAAACCCCTCAGCTGTACCATACTGAATAGCCCAGTATCATCAACAGACCATGTCACTGCATTGTCTGTGCCTTTCTCTGGGCAGCAATGGATGGATTGTAACACATAAGTATGGTGTATACTACTGATCCTGTCAATAATGGATCCCCTAGGGCTTCTTCTACTAAGGCTATTCCTCTTCTCTACTTTTAATTAATACTTCTGGTACAAGAAATTTACCCATTATTCCTGTTTTTCAGCTTTCCTGGTGTGCTTACTGCTCTAGCTGCTTGCCTGCTGAAAATTTTAGCAGATCATATTGAGACAACTTCCCTTTGTTACCTGCTTTAATTAAAAAAGCCCATTGTGAAACAAAATTTCATATTGAGTCTCATTAATATAGCAGATTGTTACAGTTATTTCCCACATATCTACTAAAGTTATTTTAAAAAATAATGTCTATTTTGCCTGGTATGGGTGCCACATTTAATAGTTCACAAAATCTTCTTTAAAAGTGGTAAAAATGGTAGGATTTAAATATATTTTCAACATATTAAGAGCACTAAGTCACCACTTCTAAAATCCTAGTGGCTTCTCCATCATCTATGTATTCTTTTCTTCCAGCTACTGTGCCAGTGTATAGTTTCCTATGGGAGTCAGGCATCTGTGCACAGCTGAGAAGTCTTGATACTCAGTGGATTTTAATTGTGGTCCTGTTCAGCCCCTTTATCCCAAGTGTTTTGTGATTTCCCTGTGTGATGGCCAAAAAACTCATAGAGACCACCAAGAGACTCCAAGAAAGAAGTATTTTATACAATTACCAGCCTGCCTTGTCTGATGGGCACCCAATGCAGTCAGAGACTCTTTCAGCTTTTCTTGCTCTGATATGTGGTCATTGGTATATGCTTTTACCCATGGTATGCTGATGGCTGAAGGCTGTGGACAGCAGCACATCAAGGTTGTCTTGGAGAGTCAGTAGGTTAAAAAAGGGATCAGTCAAACCATGAGTATTTATTAGTCATCAAGATACAGTTCTGGCTTAAGTCCTGGTGCACTAAGAGCTGCTCTATGCTTGCCCTGTTCGTTCCTGAGGACACTGACAAGGGCCACTCTCAGAAAAAGTGGTGATGGACTGTGCAAATCTTTTGTTGGAGCAAATTATGTTGATAGGTGATTATGTTGCATATATATTAAAATCAAGGCATGCATTATTGCTGAACTGCTGCACCTTGTATGGGAGAAAGGCATCAGGGAAACCTGCACAAATGTATAGCATATGTGTTGATTTTGTTAAACTTACCAGTCTCAGACAAAGACTTCAAGTAATGTCTTATGGTGCTATGTAGATTTTGAAATTGCAATCAGTATTGTAATGTTTTGTAGTTTTGTAAAATTTCAGTTTGAAATACTACCTTTTTGTCTTACTTAAGTAAGACTACTAAGTCTTACTTATAAAATGTACATTCTTCTGGTTCACTGCTTCTTGCTTATTTCCTTATATCTGCCTTACTTATGCATATTTGCACTTGCACAGTTATTTTCTGGAAGCACAGAAAAAATTATGGGATCTACAGAAATATCATATTAAATAAACCTCTGATTATGTGCATTTTTTAAACAGTGAAATCAGTACTTCTTGTCTGCTGAAAACTAATTTCTTCCTCTGTGTTTCACCTGATCACTTTTCCTAGATCACTTCTGAATCTTTCACTTCACAAGATATCTGCTGCTGTGTAAGCTGTGTTTTCCTTGGAAGACCACGTAGATATTTAATGGGTTTAAAGTCTATCTTATCAGAGGAGAAGAAACACCCTGGCAAGGTTTCCTTTTAAAGGAAACCCCCTTATGTGGTACCTCCCACAACCCAACAGTAGAGAAGGTCTCAGATTTATTTTTGATTGGTAAATACATTTTTTCTACACACATGAATCATAAAAAATGTAAACTGAGTCTAGAATGAAGTGAATACCCCTGCAATTTCTTTCTCAAAATGAATGATTTTGTGATGAAAGCATAGCCCCTATTGATTCCAGCATGAGATCGCTCATAGGCTGAGGGCCAGAAGCATCACAGGGGAGCCTTGGTTTTATTGATCAGTTTTGTCAATGCTGTCCCACAATGCAGCATGTCCCTCTTGAACTACTTTCTTCCATGACTCTGTTCCTTGCAGCTTTCAGTGTTGCTCCAACAGGCTAAAAATAAGGACACTCTTTGCTGGAAAATGTTTCCTGGCAAGAAAACAAAATGTTGGACAAGACTACCTATTAGAGTACGGAAATCTCTTCATAAGAAACAGCATTTGCAATTGTCAAGTCTTAGAGAACATTTGTCAGCTACTCAGATTCATTAATTAGCCAATTAGTTTCATTAACTAATTCTTTAAGAAGCTGTGAGTTTAATGATTGGAGGCTTGTGAAAAAAAAAGATGTAGAAAGTTTAAATCTGCAGCACACTTACATAAGCTGAAAAAGCATTCTGGGCGTCAGATCTGAAGGGGAGGTAGTTTCTAGCACACAGTAGCAATGACTGGAAGTTGGAAAGTAGGTAGTAACCTATTTTACTTGTTTTTCTCTTGCTGTTCAAGAATGATACATCTGTGACACCCAAGTGTGTGGTTCTGCACAACTTGTGCAAATTTGTATTTAGACATCAGCATTATTTTAGCAAAGATTGTGTTACTGAAGTGAGTTAAATATAATTCAAAATAAGTCACGTTTAGAACTGCAGACTGTCCAAGTTGTTGCAATTATTGACTCCATTTGTTCTTTACTAAGACAAAATAATATTTTACATTATTTGTAGCAGATTTTCAATCATTATAAAAATTCTTTGTTTGGATTAAAAGCAAATCCTTCTTAGGTTTAGCTCCTGTATAATGTGAATTTACAATTAATAAAATTTACAGCAAAAGATACCCCTTTTGGGGGGGTGGGGGAGGAGGAAGGTGTGTGGCTGTGTTTGTGTGTGGGAAACTACCTGTGAGATTTCTCTTACCTCTGGCTTTCTGAGGGAAAGGCTACCAGAGGCAGAGTTGGGCAGAGGTAAAATACCTTTAAGACAATTTTACTGCCAAATATGGAGACAGACTTCTAGACCAAATGCCAATACTTTTATTCAAAGTCAAATGTAGCTCATATCTCTCTTCTGTAGCCCCTGTGGCCTCATTTTACATGGATACATGTTAATGAATTAAATATCAGGATCACCTCTAAAAACTTCTCCCACTGGGAGAGGGGTAACACTCCTTTTGCTGTCTTTCTGTGCTCACTTACAGTCTGACAGTGATCTCTACACCTGAGCTAGTCGCTCTTCAGATATCATTATAGCCACGGGCAAAGCACAGTAATGCATTTTCAGTGCTGTTCATCTGATATATATTGGTTATCTACTTTGAGTAGAAGTGAATCACACCCCAGAAGTGCTTTTGTCTTCCAGTGATTTTCAAGGAAGCCTGAGGCAATTCTCACATGGTGCTGTTATTGCAGGTGTGTATGTTTAGTCAGATAAATCCCATCGAGAAAAATACAAGTGCAAATGTAAGTGCAAAAAGTTGCTAAAGGAAAATACTACCATGGATCATGAGATAAATGCCCACGGACGTCAAAAGATGGCAGCATTGTAAACGGTAAAGCAGAGCCTTATGTCTGAAACAGCGGCACAAGGGAGTCTGAAATGGTTCTTTGGAGGAGTCAAAGACCTACCAAATAGCCCCACTTGCCTCGTGTACCTCTGGCTTGCTAAAATATGCTATCTCCTCCTACCTTTCAGATAACACGAAATCTACCTTTTTCTTGAAAGCTAACAAAAGAATCTTGAAACATGCAGATTTCCAGAGTCCAAAAAGCAAAAGAAAACTGAATATTCATCTAACTCTTAAATTTCTGTTCCTGGGCACTTAACACTGGAACATGTGGCATAGCAGCTTATGATGATTTAGATGAGAATTTTATGTGGTAATTGTATTCAGTATGTACACACAATAAAATGTTATAATCTTACATTTTCTTCTTTCTTTGAATTTTATTCTCTTAGTCTTTAGTAATTGGATTTATTTCATGTGTCATTGTTATTTTGACATTATTACACAACAAGAGCATTTAGCAATTTTTATTAGGAAATACAGATAGCATAATACTGTTTGTTTTATATGAAAAAAATGTAATTGTTTCACATTTGTCATTATTATTTTTAGCTGAGAAAACATTAATAATGCCAGAAGTGCTTTTACATTCAGGCAGTCAGCAGGTAACATGTCAAGAAGCCATGGTAAAACTGAAGACTGTAAAGACATCAGAAGATGTGGCCAAGTTTTGATTCCTTTGCCCCCAGGGAGACTCTGCCTTGGATCAGGTAAGAGTTGTGTGGCCAAATGGCTGTGACCATGGCAATGAGGGATGGGACTTGATCTCCTGGTAAATCCTGTTCTCTCTAGCTTCCACCCCTTC